AAATTACTATAAAGTCAATGGTATCCACCTTGCAATAATCCTTTTGGCTACAGCATAAATTCTGTTCTCTCATTTGGGCCCCTAGGCTGACATTCCATCATGATTTCACAGACTTCTGGGTAAGAATTTGCTTAATGCATTTTGCTTTGGCTTAAATTAATTGACACTTTTACAACTTTGAAACTCATTTAAACGGCATGGATCTTTCCTAAAATTCTGAAGCCATACTTCCCTAAACACAGTGCAGTGTGCATTACTGTTCTTAAAATAGCACATAAAAGTGATCTCATATTCACTTTTGTTTCCTTGCATTTTTGTGTCTTCTTAGTTAAGACATCATCACGAGGAAAGGGTGAATTGTTGAATGTTGCTTGCAGGAGACAGCTGATCTTGCAAGGAAATTAGTCATTCGTATTTTGGGCATGTGTTATCCATTCTACTTCCCTAACTCTCTAAGGCCAGTGTGACTTTTAGGGTCTTAGATATATTTACTTGCCTTTTAGTGTGAGGTTGTATATTAATCTAGCTAGGAACTAGGTAGCGTCTAACATTGCCTGTAGATGCAGCTGTCAGAAGCTGAAATTACCTATAGGGTCTCTTTGTTGCCTCTACTGTATTTAGGTTCCCCTACAAACTTCCCTTTCAAAAAAATCCTTGCATCTCTTTCAGCTGTCATCCACTGTTATCACACTGGAGCTCTGTTGACGGAGGGGTGAGATGTGGGGGCGGGGGGAAGCGTTCTACAGTCTTATGATTAAATCTCAGTCTTTTAGTGGGCCCTTGTCCCTGGACTATGACCTTCATGAGCATTTCTAAACTTCTTTTTTTTTTTCATTTTTCTCCGTCAAGTCGAACTGGAACTGGAAGACTAGAGGGAGTGAGAGCTGAATGGTTGCCCTTCAGCTGCCTAGCTAAGATAACGCTCTGATAAACTCTTTTCGCTGGGGAGTAGGCCTTTGTTACAGGAAATGCTCTATGTATATTTTAAAATCATTAGATTTCCCCTCTCTCTGCCAGGGACATCAGGTGATGTTTTTTGGTATATACTGTAAGAAGCAGGTGGTATTCCGGGAAGTAAAGCCTGTAAGTGTTTAGGGGCTCCTGTAAGACTGCAGCCTCCAGGAGGCTCCAGTGCTCACACTGGTCCATACTCGGCCTCTTGCCAAATTCCTGCGTAGGTGTTCCTGCCAGTTTGTGGTTCCCCCGGCATCTGCTGCAGGTGATCTGATCTCTGCTGTGATGCTCTGTAATCTCCTCTCTCTCCCGGTTTCAGGCCAGTGGTTTCCTTGAGACCTCAGTCTCTGATGGGTCCAAGACGTCATTGATTTTTAGTTTCTCCACCCATTTTCGTGGTGTCGAGATATGAGTGATGACTTCCAAGCTCTTTAGATGTTGAAGCTGGAACTAGAGGTCTTCCACGCACTTTCTTTAAAAAATAGACAGTATGGCATTGTGCAATGTTTCTCAAAAGGAAATAAATATATTGATCTCTACACCTTATTAAGTGTTGATATATTATTTTATTATAATTTTATGTTAAAATAGAGAAATACAAATTTAGACCTAAACACCATGAGCCTACAGTTCTTAACCAAGTTTTTGAAATATAATGCATAAGTTAAATTTTAAAATCTCACCAAAATATTAATATTTTAACTAACACCACCAATTTAAGACTGTGTGGGTGAGCCAAAATATTATCATATGTTTAATAGAAGGAAGATACTATTTAATTCTGATATTATCCTTGGTCTGTTTCTGTTTTTTGACTTCAATAATTCTCATATAGGAAAGTTCTGTTTAATAAGGCTATATAAAATGTTACTGGTAACTTCACAGTTTTCTACTTATGATTATTAAACAAAAAGCTCTGCCAATATGCAATTTTTCAATGTCAATTTTAATAAAGTATGTTTTGATAATTCTGTAAATGCTTTATAATCCCAAAGCAATATGTGTCCATTGCAGCATTATTAAAATCTTTATTATTGCTTTGAATTAAGAACATGAAAAATTTTATCTCTGAACCTTTTTCATATGTATATCATACAATAAATAAGTAATAATATATTAACTGTATATTATGATTAACAACCTGTTGTACCTTTAGACATACAAAAATACCTCTTAGCCAGGTGCGGTGGCTCATGCCTATAATCCCAGCACTTTGGGAGGCCAAGGCAGGTGGATCACAAGGTCAAGAGATCGAGATCATCCTAGCAAACATGGTGAAACTCCATCTCTAGTAAAAATGCAAGAATTAGCTGGGTTTGGTGGCACGCACCTGTAGTCCCAGCTACTTGGGAGGCTGAGGCAGGAGAATCACTTGAACCCTGGAGGCAGAGGTTGCAGTGAGCCGAGATCCGTCACTGCACTACAGTTTGGTGACAAAGCAAGACTCCATCTCAAAAAAAAAAAAAAAAAAAAAAAAACCTCTTAATGAGTATAAAATGTTAAATCTTCATTTGAGTTCAGTATACCTCTACCACAATGAGCCCTAGGACATCTGAATCAATTCTTTCGAGCCATTTGTCTATTTGATTATGAATCTCTATTTGGTCACTGGACATAATCTTACATATACCTCATTCTAGACACATATATCCATAAGCAACAAAAATGCAGTAATTGGGATCCATCACAATAATTAATAAAGTAACTATCTGCATGATCTGGAATTTGCCCATATTTGGGTTTGTTTTCTGTATACCAGCTTTTATGGAGATATTATAGTCCCCTAAGAATACATATACTACTTCAGATTAAGAAAAAAACTGTATTTTGCCAAATTTTGTAATCAGACTGGATTTAAATACCAGCTCTGATGACTCATAACTCTATGATCTCGAGCAACTTAACATCTCTAAACGTTAACTTCTCAATTAGGGAAGTGATATGACAAAGTTGCTGTGAAGTCAAATGAAAGAATGAATGCAAAGTCCCAACCCCTTACACATTACCTCTGTTCTCAATCAATCATTGGCTTGAACTGAACATTTCTTACATGGTTCCCTGCTAAAGGTGTTTTTACATAGAGTAAGACCTAATAGATAATATTGTGTTATATAATCTATAATTGTTATATATACAACTATATAAAAATATATAGTACCTATTTAGACATATGGAAAGGGAAAATTTTTAATGAAAAATTAGATTGTCTGAAGAGTGTGGAAATCATCACGTAGGGAAGTGATTAGCATTGTGGATATATACCAAACAATATTACAGAGACATATTAGAAATAAAGCACACTGACAGAAAGAAACCTCATTAGGATAGAATTCTGGAAAGTTGGTGTCTTCGCTTGCTATTCCCAGAGTCTGGCTTTTCTAATCATGTAGTATTGTCAGGGATGTCTACATTTTAAACTTCAGATTTTGTCAAAAAAATAAAAACCCAAAAGGACTATATTTTAAGATAAGAAGCATATACAAATAATGATAAAGGAAAGAGTGTGAGTTTTGTAGTCTCCAGTTTCGTGTCAGTAACAATTTGATGAGGAATAGCCAATAGCATTTACGCTGCTCCAGGCTGGATCAAATTGTGATCCCACTTCTTGTCTTAAAGCTGCCTGGTTAGAAATTATGCAGCTTGCTTTGATGCCTGTCTTACTACTACTATTAGCCTTTTAGTGGTTACCTTAAGAATGACTGAAGAATACTGTTACTTTGCATCTCCCAAAGGCCATGCCCTGTTCCTGCATGCTTGCTTTCAGACATATTGTCTTCTGAAGGATGGTGCCCATGGGCACGGCAATTTGGGACGTCTTTTGGTAGGAAGCATGATTTCTCCTGTTTGGAAACAAAGAAGTGGCTATGGAATATAAACTAAACACCTTCTCCCAGAAGTTATCAGTTGTAAAAGTTAACTCATTAATATAGTGTTGGACATTTTTACCTGAGTCATACTTGAACTTCTTGAATGTGAGTCAATAACTGAGTTGAATTGTATAAAACCCTGATGGGTGGCAGAAGGGAAAGAACATCCCTTTCATCTGATCCCATGCCTGAGATTCCTTCCCTCTGCTATACTACTGGAAATTAACAACTTGTCTGGTGCTTTAAAAATTAATCCTGTTATCATTATAGAGAGAACAGAAGTGAGTGTTTTTAGGTTATTACTTGTACTTAGAAAGACATCATATTCTTTCTTCATGTGTTTTGTGTTTGAGGCTAGGGATAAAGGTACAGGAAAAAGGATTTAAGAATAAAACCCAAATCACTAAACATGGACTCTTCTTTTTGTTTTTGTTTTTGTTTTTGTTTTTGTTTGAGATGGAGTCTCACTCACTCTGTTGCCCAGGCTGGCGTGCAGTGGTGTGATCTCTGTTCACTGCATCCTCCACCTCCTGGGTTCAAGCAATTCTTCGCCCTCAGCCTCCTGAGTAGCTGGGATTACAGGAGCATGCCACCATGCCTGGCTGATTTTTGTATTTTTAGTAGAGATAGGTTTCACTATGTTGGCCAGGCTAGTCTAGAACTCCTAACCTCAAGTGATCCAGCCATGTCGGCCACCCAAAGTGCTGGGATTACAGGCGTGAGCCACTACACCTGGCCAAACATGGAGTCTTTACTCAACATTATAGTAACATGAAAGGGGAGATCATGAGAATTAATGAATGTTTTAGAAGGCATGGATTACTTATAAAAAAGGAAAGATCAGGCCGGGCGCAGTGACTCACGCCTGTAATCCTAGCACTTTGGGAGGCTGAGGTGGGTAGATCACGAGGTAAGAGGATCAAGACCATCCTGACCAACATGGCTAAACCCCATCTCTACTAAAATACAAAAAATTAGCTGTGCGTGGTGGCACACACCTGTAGAATCTGGGAGGCGGAGGTTGCATTGAGCCGAGATCGAGCCACTGCACTCCAGCCTGGCGACAGAGCAAGATTCCGTCTCCAAAAAAAAAAAAAGAAAGCTCAATCTGCCAAACATTATGTGCTTGTTTCAACAACCCTTGTTTCTTTTTCTTTTCACTTCTCTTTTTTTTTTTTTAAGCGGCCTAAATGGGGTGAAGAGTGAGTTATCTGACAAATTTAGATTTTGCAAACCTGTGCATTGATGAGAGTGCTATTGAAACACATTAACAAAGATTTTCAACACACGAATGTGTCATTTCCTTTCTTCATGTACCAGATGCTGAAATACTACGAGATAAAGATTTTAGGTTTCAGTTGTAAAGAGAGAAAAGTGGATAAATCAGTGCTGCTTTCTTTAGGACCAAAGGTAAAAAAAGGCTTATTTTAATGTTTTATTCCAGAATTGTTTCTATTGATTGTTATGTGTCTGCTCTATGTGTGTATGTATGTGTGTGTGTGATGTATGATATATTTCTGCGTGTGTGTGTGTATATATATATATATGAGATGAATGATTTCTAGTAGAATGCTTTATTCTATCAGCAGTAATTTGGGTTTTTTTTTGAGATAATCAAAAAACAGAGATTTCTGCTAAATTTTCTGAGTGAAAAACATATGTGTTCACAAATACACGTGAAATATACTAAATGCTTTGTAGTTTGAACAGGCAAGGTGGTTTTTTTTTCATATAATTAAGTATATTTTGTTTAAAATATTGACTTTATTCAAAGTATAATTTGATATATTTCAGATATTCTCCTTTCATAACTTTTCATGGAACATGTTAGGCTTTAATTTAATGTCTTTTGTTATCTTTCCTTGATTATATAGCAAATATTTGCTGGGTGTCTACTATATGCACTTCATTGAACTAGATGTGGGGAAAGGATACAAAAAATAAAATATAGTTCTTTTTGTGTTTGGGAATCTTATGATTTAAAACATCCCCAAATAGGCATAATGTAATTTGAGCACCTTAAGTAATATGAAAGAGCTATAGATAATTACTATGAAAATATAGGCGAAGCCAAAATTACTTCTATGGGAAAAAAGTCTATCAGAAATAAATCTTCATGGAGATGCTAGAAATCCTATTAATCTTGAAGAATAAGTAAGATTCACACAGCATACAATGGGAGGTTGGTGTTTGCACTGACCAGGTAAATATAGTTATAGAAAAACCATAGAACTGAGATTATGAATGTTTTATGCAGTGATTAGCAGTTTTCTGCAGTGGGTAAGAGCTGATCTTCTGGGAGTAGACTGCCTGTGTTCAAATGCCAGCTCCCCCGCTCCCTAGCCGCGTAACATTGACTAGTTACTTACACATTTCAAGTCTTAGTTCCCTACCCTGTAAAATGGAGAAAATACTACTGTGTACCTCATGAACACACTGTGAGAACAAAATAAGAAAAGCTCATATTTTTTTTAAAACGGCATTTTAAAATAACAGTAATTCATATATTGATGATTTTTTGTGTATCAGGCAATTTACAAAAATATTTTTAATGCTCACAATAATTCTTTAAACTTATATTGTGATCATATTTTACATATCTAAAGAAACTTCAGTTCAAATAAGTTAAAATATTTGCCTAAGGTCACACAGCTAAATGATGTCACAGTCAATACTCAAATCTAGATTTCAGATTCAAAAGTTGGTGCTCTTTCTTCTTTGCTACCAAGGATGAATATCAGTGACCTCAGGCGCAATATAAATATTTCCATTTCTTACTAAAATCCTTCTCACAGACAGGTTCCTTAAGCTGTTCCTTAAGCATAAAACTGTTAGTTTCACAAATAATCTTAACTTAATTTCCATGTTATATACACATTCAACTGCTGTTACAAAACTCAAAGTTTTTATTTTATGTAATAAAGAGGATCACAAGGTTATTATTTATTCCAAATCTTGAAGATAAAGTTGACCTTAAGAATATGATGAAAAAACTAAATAGGGAAAAATCTTGGAAAAATGAATACATGTCAAGTATGAAAAGACAGATGGTAAATATGTATTAAATATAAAGAACTTATTCACATGCACAGCTAAAAGCAACCTGTGGGGATGTGTAAGCAGTGAATATGAATAGATAATAACCCAAGAAGAAAAATATATGACAAACAATTACAGTGAAGTCTCTCTCTTAACATTAATAATAAAAAATAAAAATGAAAACCACTTTTAGTATTATTTAACTCTTATCAAAATCTAAATGATTCTAAAATAAGCTTTATTATTCAATGGTAGTGAATTTTGCTTGAAACTGCCATATTCATATATAAGTCTGGAATATTTATAAATTTATGCAATCTTTTTAAAGATCACTAAGACAGTGGAGCCCAAGAAGTTCAAAATAGTTTTCCTTTCACCTTTGAATTTCACATATGGTGAATTATCCTAAAGAAATGTTTTAAAAGAAGAAAGCTAAATTATGAAAATAGTGACCAGGTGTGGTGGCTCACGCCTGTAATCCCAGCACTTTTGGAGGTCGAGGCGGGTGGATCACCTGATGAACATGGTGAAAAATACAAAAATCAGCTGGGCATGGTGGCAAATGCCTATAATCCCAGCTACTCGGGAGGCTGAGGCAGGACAATCGCTTGAACCCAGGAGACAGGGGTTTCATTGAGCTGAGATCGCACCATTAAACTCTAGTCTGGGTGACAAAGCGAGAATCCATCTGAAAAAAAAAAGGAAATATTTATAACATCATTATTTGTATCAGTGAAGCATTGCCACCTGACAAAAGGAAAAAAAAGTTTAAAAGAAAAAAATTATATTTTAGAAAAATGACTATATAAATAAGATTATATATATACACACACATACATACACACACACACACACACACACATATATATATGTTGAATTACTATGTAGCAAAGACTTGGAACCAGCCCAAATGTCCCTCAGTGATAGACTGAATAAAGAAAATGTGGCACATATACATCATGGAATACTATGCAGCCATAAAAAAGGATGAGCTCATGTTCTTCGCAGGGACATGGATGACGCCGGAAACTATCATTCTCAGCAAACTAACACAGGAACAGAAAAACAAACACTGCATGTTCTCACTCATAAGTGAGAGCTGAACAATGAGAACACATGGACACAGGGAGGGGAGCATCACACACCGGGGCCTGTCAGTGGGTGGGAGGCAAGGGGAGAGATAACATTAGGACAAATACCGAATGCATGCGGGGCTTAAAACCTGGATGATGGGCTGATGGGTGCAGCAAACCACCATGGCACATGTATACCAGTGTAGCAAACCTGCACAATCTGCACGTGTATCCCAGAACTTAAAGAATAATAAAAAAAATTTCAAGTTTGAAAAATTCATTTGAAATATTAAAATAATGTGATGATTTTAAGGAAAATGCATAATACCAAATGATATTTGCATGACAACATGAACTATGTTACATGTGTACATATATCGAAAGACTTCAGTTTCATTTAAAAAATTAAGGTTTTTTTTTTGCTTTATTAGGGTGATGAGGTGACAAAAATTTTATCCTAACATATCTATAATATTATGATAATGTTTTATAAGAAAAACAAGAAAAAGTAAGTGTATGGTTCCAAACAAATTGACCTTGAAATTCTTTCATTATGAATTTCCTGTAAACTTTTCATCCACTTGATAAAAAGCTGATATTACAGAAACGTGTTTCACTTCTCGTGAGCACGTGCTTTTAATAGATTACACAAACACAAAGGATTTCACAATCCTTTATCAGTACATTGACATTTAATAGGAAAAGTCACTTTATGTGAAGCTACTGTTTTTCCTAACTTTGGAACTGATATGAAAAGGCACACTTGGACAGTGTGAGTCGTTCACTGCCTGCTAATGAAGGCTCATGCATGTATGTATGTTCACGTTACTAAAAAATTACAATGATTATAGCCAGAGTAAGGAGCTGAAATAATCTGGTAATTTTAATAATAAATGCTTTTGAAGCAAAGTAGCTTCACTGAGGGTAATATTTTTTGTTTCACTTTGCTAGTTACATGCAGTGCAGAGAGAAATATTTTATTTTCCAATGTGTAACAGAAGAATTTTTAAAATTCCCACTTTAGTGAACCGCAAAGTTTTCTTGAGGCATAACCCAAGATATAAAATCCAGTCATCTTGAAAAAGATCTTGCCTTTCATTTCATTTATTAATGTAATTTTAAATACTGCATTATGTATGTAATGAGCACCTTCAGGAACTCTCTGATTCCTGAACCAAAGAGATCAAAACTCCATATCATGGATCTGGCTTGGATGAGAGAAGACACATGATAGATAAGACAAATAAGGAAAATATGTTTTGGGGGAAAGAAAATGAAGCCAGGATGGGGAAGACAAGGCCCCAAGGGGTTGTGGGTTGAAACTGGATGTTCAGGAACAGTCTGCTTCCTTACTTGCTTTTTCTTTCTTCTTTCTTTCTTTCTTTTTTTTTTTGAGACAGAGTTTTATTCTTGTTGCCCAGGCTGGAATGCAGTGGCCTGATGCTGGCTCACTGCTACCTCTGCCTCCAAGGTTCAAGCAATTCTTCTGTCTCAGCCTCCTGAGTGGCTGGTATTACAGGTGCCCACCACCACACTCAGCTAATTTTTTGTATTTTTAGTAGAGACGGGGTTTCATCATGTTGGCCAGGATGATCTCAAACTCCTGACTTCAGGTGATCCACCCACCTCGGCCTCCCAAAGTGCAGGGATTACAGGTGGTCTGTTTTATTGAGTCAGACTTTAGTGAAGGCCTGAGTGAGACAAGAAGGCATTCAGGGGCTTTGAGCATGGGAGTGACTCAACCTGCCTTACTTTTTAAGAGGATTCTTTTGGAAACTGTGTGGAGAATTAATTCAAGAGTGTAAGAATGAAAGTCAGGGTGCTATTAACATCAACGCTCAATAGCTCATGCCTGTAATCCCAGAAATTTGGGAGGCTGAGGTGGGAAGATTGCTTGAGGCTAAAGAGTTTGAGATCAGCCTAGGCAACATAGCAAGACTGCATCTCTAGAAAAAAAATAAACAGGTAACTGAGCATGGTGTCATGCACCTGTAGACCCAGCTACTCAGGAGGCTGAGGTGGAAGAGTCGCTTGAACCCAGAAGGTCAAGGTTGCAGTGATGTGATCACGTGGCTGCACTGCAGCCTGGGCACGAGAGCAAGACCTTGTCTCAAAAAAAAAAAAAAAAAAACAAATTGTCAAGGCGAAAAGGATGATGGGGCTTGGACAGGTTGCTAGCAAGGAAGTGACAAGAAGCCCTCAGTTTCTGCATAGTGTTTGAAAACAAAGCAACAGGATCGGATGAGAGATGGGAAGTAGTGGATGAGAAAAGGCGAGGAACAAGGAAGACCTCTAGGT